TATCTTATTCACATAAGTTAAGTTTCATTTACGCTAAAGAAGTCAGTATAAAATGACTATGACCCGCTTTTGCCCCACGACGTCCCGGGCCGTTACAGGAATCTTGATGTGGCGGGGCCTCAAACTGAGCCTGCTGATGCTTAACTGGACCCTTCTATTCCCACGAGCGCAGACGGCATACAAACCAGCGTGTTACAGTGCATTGCACAATTGCCCTGCCTACCTTAGATACTGTGACTACATTCGAACCCTCGGCTGAAACCTCTAGTCTAAACATGGCTAGGAGGTATTCGGTAAAGGGATCCTGTAAAATAACGATTCTGCTTTATAATGATCTCCAGAACAGGGTAGCCGTTATATTCAATAATGCATACAGTGTCAATCTGTACGCCGGCGAATATATTCATTAATTTCTCGACTTATTGCTTGCATGCTCCTTACAATTATAGCATCTGGATTATGATACCGCTATCAAAATTCCAGCTGTTTTAAGACTTAACAAAGAATACATTTTCAAGAGCAGAAACTACTGAAGGTGCTGAGTATCAATTAGAGGGTTAAAAGTATACCTCTAATTGTTGTTGAGTTGATTAGCCTAGAAAACTCATCTGTTTCCTTTATTTTATCCGACATTCATCTATCTGACTCTCCCTTCTTCCACTGCCCCGCTCCACGGTACCAGAGGAACCCTTTCGCAACTACATAAAGAACCCACAGCGGGCTTAATCACACTGCACTGTTGACAGTCGGGTTTTGCGAGGTAGATATAAAAGCTAGTATCCTACTATGAACCCTCTATTCTTTGGCACTGATCTTCGTATAGCAGTAGTGCTCCACATCTCCACTTCTGTATGCAAAACATTGACAAAGTATCAAACGCAAAATTCGCTATATTTACAAACCTTCTTAGCTTCTCTTAACCATCGATGATGCAAATTCAGACATAATACAAGCTTAGAAGATGGCTGTCTGTAGTCACTGCCTTACTGCAAAGAGGGGTATTTGACTATGGTGCAATAGTCGCTACTAGGATTACTTCAAAATAAGTTGCAGTTAATTTTACCTACTGATTCCGATGACGAAACAAACAGATCTAGATCTAAAGTTCATTCCGCAAGCGTCTCTGTTCACTGAACCACAGAAACAATTGCAGCATAAGATCTGGAAAAGAATTTTGCTTGACAGAGAAAACTTTGTGCCTATTTAGTAAGTTCTATGGGTGGCATTTTCATAAAGTTTACAGGATACTTACGCCCTTCTAGGCGCAAGGTTGTCTTTCAGTAGATGGCCAATGTTCATTCATTATCAAGCAAAAAAGCATGCTTGTCATTATCTTGGGTAAAAATCCATGGAAAACTATTTGACTGCTCAAGAACTATAGATAGTGTGCTAGATTCACATTCAATTCGAAATATCTTCATCTCAGTAGCTGCTCAGATTCCAACTTGTGCAATAGTCTATTTTTATCTCTCAAAATAATTAAATTTCTTGGCTCTTGGTAACTTTGTCTTTGTGGTGTTTAGCTGCGAAGATTCCGTCATTACTCTTGTCATATATTAGGGGCAGGATGTATCACCAACTTAACAATCCTTAAGCTTTTATTATGACTTAGGTTATAACGGTGCGCTGCCGTATCTATTCATTATTTATATTTATTCTTATTGAAACTAACTTCTGCTTATTACAGTAATTGTACTGGGCTTTGTCGATCAGTTTAGTAATAAGATATTTCACATACAAATGGATAGTATCTCATGTTCAATCAATCATACTTCCAGTTGTGATGCGATTGCAGGAGATATCAGCTATTGCAGAGTAAGACCTTGTCCAAGTCCTGCGGTATCCTACTAATATAATCTTTATCAAGGCCGCCATGCTAAGGTCCTTATCTCTATAGGTGGTGCAACTGTTCATGATCGTAGCGGGAATGGGAAGTATCGATTCGATAGTATTAATAAGGTGAAACGAACCGCTGACGAAATATACCCCATGTTCTTTACTAGAACTAAAACTAGCTCATACTGGAGACTCTTTGGAGATGTCCAGGTGGGTAGACTGGATTTGGATATTGATAGATACTCGACACTACTCATGTCCAAATTTATACTTAACGTGTATTATTAGTAGAAGAGATATCAGAAGGCTAGTGAATATATTAATAGTATTATAATAAATTCATCACGAGACTTCGTGAGCTTTAAGGAAATCAAAGTTTAATAGTATCAGCGGTACCAGAGTGTCGCTATGGCTGGCCAATTCCATACACTTGCAATGCATTGGAGCAAACTGTCAATCTGACGAAATTTGACTACTTATTGTGAGCTCCTTAATATGCTCGTTAAGATATTGTATCTAATCCTATATTGTCCGGACTTGAATCCAATCGAAGAGTTCTTCTCAGAGCTCAAGGCGTTTATAAGACGGCATTGGCAAATTTATGAAGATAATCCTGAATAGGGTTTGGTTTGTTTCTTGACTGGTGCGTTCGTACTGCGGGCGGAAGGAAATCAAGTGCAGAAGGGCATTTTTGAAATGCTGGCCTGACACTTGATGATGTATGAATTGGATATGGTAGGTACCGGTGTGACATATTGAACATTGATCCTTCAATTGCCTTCTAGCACAAAGTATGATATAGTCAGGTTGAGTATCATACTGATTTCCAGAGTCACAGCTGAAGACAGTAGTCCACCTGTCTCAGAGTAATTCATACGCTGACCCCTCGCCAGAGCGATATGCAGGTATTCTCTATATATTTATCTCCCTAACTACATGTCTTTCGCTGTAAATTATTTCTTTCCTGACAAATTTGGAACCTCGTCGAGGCCGCAATTATTTCTGTTCCACGCCACCTTGCCTTAAGGGGGAGGGTTGGGTACTATTGTGGGAACGAATTCCATTGTTATGATAAATGAAGAGCCGGCGATAGAACTCGAGCCCACCACCTCTAAAAAGCAAGGTGACTATTCCGCATTTTTGAAATTGCCTTGGACCGCTTACCACTGGGCCACCACAACCGGCAGAATGTAATGTACTTGTTGATTTCAATAGCATCACCTATAAACCCTCATTGTTCTTCTTGAACCATAACGTCAAGAACCACTAGTCTACACCAGTTGAATTTCAATTTGCTACCTCCCTATTACATAACACATATCCCCTGTGGCGGCCGCGGAGCCGCAACCCACACGACCCTTCCGAGTATCATGGGGTTTCCTACCGCACCAAACCGTGTCTGGCATAGTTCACTACGAAATCTACTCCACACTCTGTGGTCATATATACTGTCGGAACATGCTATCTTACATTCTATGCCACATGTAAGTGCATAAGGGATATTTCTTTTGCCGTACATGGTAGTAGCTCTGACATATACTATTTCCCCCCGAGCAGTGGAATATGTAGAGCCGTGTGTTTTCAATCACTCATTGTACAAATATGACTTGGAGGTACAGGATACAGTGAATGAAGCTGGCAAACGGCCACTGCGGCTGTTCAGCTGCCCATTGGCCCACTATACATCCTCTCTCAAGCGGCATCAACTCGAAGACTGGATTTCAGCAATAAGACCCTCAATGCGCTGACGAATTTCCTGTCGGATAGTCCGTACGGCATCTAAGCCTTCGCCGGCAGGGTCGTCAAGCTTCCAGTCGAGATAGCGTCTTCCAGGAAAGAAGGGGCAGGCGTCGCCACAACCCATAGTAATGACAACGTCGCTGGCTTGAATCGCATCGGTGGTTAGAACCTTCGGTTTTTGGTCGCTGATGTCGATACCTTCTTCGAGCATGGCCTCGACGACGACGGGGTTGATGGAGTCGCCTGGGGCCGACCCGGCGGAACGGACTTCAATGGTGCTGCCGGCGAAGTGGCTCAGGTAGCCAGCGGCCATTTGGGAGCGACCGGCATTGTGGACGCAGACGAATAAGACGCTGGGCTTATTAGCCATCGTGTATGTATTAGGTGATCAGTGGAGAGGTCGTTGGGAATAGCTTCTTGAACGTGCCAGTGACCTCGGTAGCGATGTGATTATCAAGATCGAAGTACTTGGTGGGTGTGAAGAGTGATAGCCTCTAGGATATGTCAAGGAGGTAAAATGGGGATGCATTCCTCTAAGCAAGAGAAACATAAGGAGGATGTTGGCTGGGTTTTATATGCCACGCGTTGGCTTTACAAAGGAACACATCTAAGATTGATCTAGAACATTCTTATGTATGGCTCGGAGTGTTGGCCCACCAACACAACAGCGTTTGACGGGGGCTTTTCATAAGTCATAGTCGCAGTGCACGTAAAATCACACCTGGAATAGAGCCTACAGTGCTAGGGTCGAAATCACTGTCTCATCATATGAATGATGAATTTCGATTTAGCATTTAACAAATCTGAACTGGCAGCTGGCGGCCTGCTTTCTTATGAGGCCGACACGTTGTCGACTTTGGAGATTGTTTTGACGTTACTATATCCATGGGCCATTCCAATTAATGGCAATCTGGATGTCACTTGGGTCTATCACTGGTCGAAATTTTGGTAGGGAATCACTGCATTTTCATTTTGACAAATCACAAATCTAGAACAATACCAGTATGTCATTGCTTCGTTATGATTGGACAGTAAGAGCAGGCTGTCACTCATCTGATATGATTGGTCGTTATAAGTATTACCCACCTTAACAATGTCAGAACTACTATACAGTACTGTACAGTAGCACCTCGATTAAAACTTTAAAACAGAATATCAGGTATGGACGAGTTCGTTTGTTTGTCGAGATTTATAGGGGATAACTGACTTGTCTTCAAATTTTCCTATACTATTTATACCCTTAATCTGCTGGTGCTAGATATGACCACCGCAAGTATCTCAGCCAGATTTTGGTTACGTTGTATTGGTAAGCACCTGGATCGGCGGGATCCACTCCGAATGTGATGACATACTACCCCGGACACCTCTCCCCTCCGTAGTCCGTGCCCAAGTCCGTGACGTACCTGCTACCAAGAATTCACCTAAAAACAAGCATAAAGTAGTGCTCAACTGCTTACATTCAATCATAAGAACGGCTTATCGCTCCTCCCTCCGTGTGTGAGGGTAAAGCACAATACCTCCTGTCTGCACTCGTAAACTCAGCTTTCTACCAGTCCCAGCACAAGAGACCCATCAGTTTAGATAAGCAAAATTCCCTTGAGGGTTTATAGTGTTACCGAGTTGGAAAATCTCCAATATGTCCAACGATACCTACAATCTCGTCCAGTCCCGCTATGGTGACATCGCTAAGCAGACTTACACCACTCAGCAGCACGAGAAAGAAGAGCAGATCGCCAGAGCCTTTGGCTATAGTGCGGAAGATCTCAGTTCGCTTCCAGAGAAGACGAATCTCGGGTTAAGTTGCGGAAACCCAGTAGGGTTTGCCAATGTGAAAAAAGTCTGGTGCTTGACTGATGTCTTCGAATGACGGTGACCAATGGAAGATGCTGACTTTCGAGTATATAGGGTGAGACGATTCTGGACCTTGGCAGCGGCAGCGGCATTGACGTCCTCCTGGCGGCCCGTAAAGTCGGGGTAAATGGACAGGCAATCGGCGTTGACATGACAAAGGTGAGTGGCTCGAGTTTGATTTTTTTCTTTTCCCTATAGATACCAGGATTGACAGTAGACACAGAACATGATCGAACTCGCTGAAAAAAATAGACAGAAGGCGGGAGTCTCCAATGCCAAGTTCTTTGAAGCAACTATCAATTCCGTGCCACTACCAGACTCCAGCATCGACTGCATTATTAGTAACTGTGTTATCAACCTCGTCCCAGAAATCGACAAACAGGCCGTCTTCAAGGAGATTGCTCGCCTACTGAAGCCGGGCGGAAGGATTGCCATCAGTGATATTCTGGCTCGAAAGCCACTCCCGGATCAAATTACCAAAAACATGGCGCTGTATGTTGGGTGTATTGCCGGAGCGAGTGAGATCGCGAGATATGAGGAGTATCTTGAGCAGGCCGGATTCGAGGGTACGTATACTGCTATCAACGGCACTTGAGAGTCTTCTGTACTAATTGCCACTAGGTGTACTAGTTGTTGACGCGAATTCGGACCTGAATCTTAACAAGCAGTCGTCGTATTTGGCCCAGAGGTCGTGCTGCGGCAGTGGGGGTTCGAGAAGGGGGACTACGAGTGACGTTGCAGAGTTGGATTTCAATGAGTGGGTCGGTCAGTCATTACCCTCCATTCTAGTTCAAGCTTGAGCGCGCCGTTGACAATTCTCCCAGGCTCGTTTCAGATCTACGCTATCAAGACTTAAATTACTTTCTTAAGAGCTGTCAAGGAGAGGCTTGAATCCAGCTTGGCGAGGACGCCCTTGCAGTACATGGCTCGGACAAGCGCAGTCTCATTGGTCCACAACAAGTATATAGAAAGGGGTGACCGTAAGAACTAGCCGAATCCATAACCAATTAAATACATCATCGCGTGGTCAATCATTTAGCAGCTGAAAGATATCCATGTTCTTTACCATGCAGCTGGCGCTCGACTGACACCCTAGTTCCGATCGCACATCCTGCATGTTGGAGTAGCTTCGCATGGATGAAATAATAGCGACTGCACTTTCGCACGGGGTACATTGTCCTGATTGTCTGGAGTCACGGTGCCTGTTGGGTGGTTGTAATGTTGAAGTATCGGGAGTGGGAGAGTCGAACGAAACACTCAGCTCCGAGAACCCATCGGAATTTCGGCGGTCTGATATAGCTATCTGTTGATAAGTAAATAGGCTCGAACTCGAGGTCGATGAAGCAGACGCTGTAGCCGTTCTCTCGGATGATGGATCTTTGCGCTCGTAATTTGATGAACTTTGTCCCTCACATTCCACTGTATTTAGTATGGGAGATTGCTCCGAGTGCGATCGCGCCACTAGCACAGGCTCCGAGCGCGACGTAAGAACAGAAATGTATGCTGTATGTGCTCTTAGGAATTCTTGAATTCTCTGATCAGAGACACCATGTAATGTGAGCAGCGAGCGGAGAAGACAGTTCTCTACTGCCACCTTTCGCCCCGCCTCTTGAACCTCTCGTGTAGCATGAATGCCCTCAGTCTGAAATTTCTGCAGGCGTTGCTCAAGATCGTGTATATATTCTCTACGCCGTGCACGCGAACGCCGTTGATTATCGCGAATTCGTACTGCTGACAATATTTGGTCAGTCTGGAAGATTGTTAGTAACAAAGAATGGAGCTGGCATGTATGAATCGCCTATTTAATGATGGCCGACCTTGGGTTTTCTCGGCTGTTCGTTTGGATTCTCGATCCTCATCGTTGTCATGTTAAGATGGCAGTAACCTCTGCTGTGGCGATCGGGTAATTCGGAGGATCCAGTATGGGCAAGCATGAGAGGAAGAGTCAAGTGGTAGGCTAATTACCAAGCAAGGCTTAGTGCCGAGAAACAAATCCACTTAAAGACTGTTGGGAATTTTCCCTCTTCAAGAGCCAATCAGCATCCGCCGGTGACATCTACTCGTCGCCTTTCGGTTACCCCGACGGTGGCAATCTAGGATTTGTTCGAATCTATACATAAGACATCTGTTCATCGGAAGCGCTATCACCAGATATGCAGATGATTGCTCGTTTTCGAATTTCCTCAGCACGCAAAATCACCCTGGTCAAGGGCTCAGCATCGATTCTATCGCCCTACAGATACACCACCATGGCGCATCCCGCGGTTGCCCAGCCGGGGCCAACTGTTCCCGACTTCGTCAACGGGCATGAGAGCATACAATGCCCATACCCGTCTCTGGCTATACCGCAGAGCGAGGATGATGCCGATATTCGTCAGCAATACCGACCCTTCATTCTCGACGACGCGGCCGAGGACTGGGTCAATGCCTTGGAGCTGACAACCGCCATGAACTTGGCAATGCAGGAACTGCAAAAATCAAACAACCGACTGAAGGTGCTGGTGTTATACGGCAGCCTGCGTCGGAGATCCTACTCTCGCCTGGTGGCGCTGGAAGCCAGCAGGATTCTCTTGCGTCTGGGGTGTGACGTGCGTGTGTTTAATCCCGAGGGGTTACCGGTGAAGAATGATACCGAGCACGGCCATTCCAAGGTACAAGAACTCCGAGAGCTCAGTAAGTGGAGCGATGGGCATGTTTGGGTATCTCCCGAACAACATGGGAATCTTGTGAGCATTTCATTCCCCCCTTCCCCCCAATGCATAAGATCTTATTACTGACCACCCACAGACCGCGGTCTTCAAGAATCAGATCGACTGGATCCCGTTAAGTACCGGTAGTGTGCGTCCAACGCAGGGCCGGACCCTCGCTATTGCGCAGGTGTGCGGTGGCTCGCAATCGTTCAATGCTGTTAACTCTCTGCGTCTTCTCGGCCGGTGGATGCGTATGTTCACCATCCCTAATCAATCTTCAATCCCGAAGGCGTATACACATTTCCCTGATGAAGGTCAACCGGGAGATCAGAGACTTATGCCAAGTGGTAACCGGGACCGACTGGTGGATTGCATGGAGGAGTTTGTAAAGTATACCTTCCTCATACGGCCCCACTTGGAACTTTTTGGTGATCGGTTCAGTGAGCGGGAAGAGAAAAGGGCCAAGGAGGAGAAGCTGCGGCTGGCACGAGTGATACAACCCTAGCTTGATAATGGGATGGGTCCGTGTATATACCTGTGGCATTGGAGAGGTCAGGCTCTAGGCTGTATACTTTAGTTACTGCATGTGAATAATCAGATTTATTGAACAACATCCAGATGTCCTCCAACTCTTTTCTCCTAGCTTTGGGTCATAGCAAACAATATTCACGACTATCTGTCAAAACTCCTGCAGGTTGCCCTTTGCTGTCGCCCGCCCATTTTCAACTTTAATATGCTATTTCTCTGGTATTTGGACAGCAGTAGTGGGCTCGGGTAGAGATTGCGTTCCTCAGTGAGTCACCGGCGTACTTTAATTGGCTTCCACTAGAGTCCATAGAGATTATTTGTCAGCTGCAAGCGTAGTTCAAGAAATTCCGAGCAGCGGCCAAAACACGGCTTGACCAATCAGCATCAGGGAATGACATCCAGATGCGAATAAATGGCCTCGTCTTTATCAACTCTAACTGTATATATAGACCTCCACGCGTGTTGCTCGAAGCTTCTCCCGAGATTTAACACGTCACCCGAACTTCCAACGATCAGGCTCATCGCTTTCAATTGAATCAGGACCATCTCATCATTTGAATATGACTGATAATAACCCTCCAATGGGTGCTGCAGCCCAAACGCCTTCCGCTCCCAGTGATATAGAAAAACAAGCAAGGCCGTCAGACTCACCGCAGAGAAAGGATTCCGCCTTTAAAAATCTCGGCCTTTTGGACCGATTTCTCGCGGTATGGATTTTCCTGGCCATGGCAATTGGTATTATTCTGGGAAATTTTGTGCCAAGCACCGGACCTGCGTTACAAAGGGGGAAATTTGTTGGTGTCTCAGTTCCGATCGGTAAGGGTTCAACGATTTTGTGCACTGTCTTTTCTATCTGCTAATACAGATTAATAGCTGTTGGCCTGCTTGTCATGATGTATCCCATTCTCTGCAAAGTGCGTTTTGAGAGCTTGCATCAGGTCTTCAAAACCCGTCAGATATGGGTTCAGATTGCGTTCAGTATTGTTGCTAACTGGATCATTGCCCCATTTTTCATGGTAAGCCTTCAAGCTTCCCACTACCTCTTTAAGTCAGAAATCAACACGAAACACTTTAGTTGGCGTTATCCTGGGCTTTTCTTCCAGACGAACCCGAGCTACGCCAGGGGCTGATCTTGGTCGGACTAGCACGTTGCATCGCTATGGTAGAAATACTCCACCCCCAACAGCCATTGGGGGCAAAACGTTATTTTTGTACTCTACGATACTAACAAAGACTTAGGTTCTAATCTGGACGGGTCTGGCAGGCGGCGACAGCGAATACTGCGCCATCCTCGTCGCCGTGAACTCCCTCCTGCAAATGGTCCTATTCGCACCCATGGGCGTCTTATTCATCCAAGTCATCAGCGGCGATAGGATAGCCTTCCAATATTCCACCGCCGCGAAAAGCGTCGCTGTCTTCCTCGGCATTCCGCTGGGCGCAGCAATCCTCACGCGCTTCACTCTCCGCTGGGCGACTAGTCCGCGATGGTACGACGAGGTGTTTCTGAAATGGGCAAGCCCCTGGTCTCTAATTGGGCTTTTGTTCACGATATTGATGCTGTTCGCGTCTCAGGGTCGTCACGTTGTTCATCAGATTGTCTCAGTTATCCGGGTGGCCGCGCCGCTGATTGTGTATTTCGCGGTTATATTTTTCTTGACGTTGTTAGTTACGTACAAGTTGCGCTTTGGGTATAAGCTCGCTGCTACGCAGAGTTTTACTGCTGCCAGTAATAATTTCGAGTTGGCCATTGCCGTTGCTGTTGCTACCTTTGGGGCAGACAGCAATCAGGCGCTTGCTTCGACTGTTGGGCCACTGATTGAGGTGCCGGTTTTGTTGGGGCTTGTCTATGCTGTTAGATATTTAGCGAAGAGACTAAACTGGAAGGATTAGTGAAGACTGCTCGTTACCTCGATCGGTCAATCGGTCCCGAGGTCGATGATTGATTTTCCTTGATTGAGCACAATCATGCCTGCGCAAAAGGTCGCATCATGGTTTAAAGGACCGCACACAGGTGTATCTACTTCTCTTCGAATGCCTAGTACGTAAACCAAATATCCAAAAGACCACCTAAAATTGCGTACATTATGCAACTCATGAGGTTCCTATGTTTGTTCTGTTCGAGGACCCGTGGGTGTGAGTTAGACCCTTCACCCGAAAATTGAGGGTCGCGGGTCACCCGCTTGAGGTTCACCCGCGGATCGTGCTGTGTTTCTTTCCCGAGTGGGTCCTGCCTGCAGCAGTAGTGTCCCATCGTGATGGCAAGGAGATCCGGGACATGGCTTGATTCCTTACACATCCTGCCAAAATGCTTCGAACCCGAAGCCCGCTCGACGCCAATCTCAGCGTCTCGTATACCGAGCATTCTTTGGGTGCTAGTAGGCTCTAGACGAAAATCCTCTAGATATTTGATGGATATCTGGAGTAAACCATGTTTGCCAAGATGGTATAGCCGGGCCCACGCTAGCAGCTGCTTCTCCACTGATGTGCAATCAATACTATTGCCCTCAAATTTCTTGGTGAAATCTCAATGGGAACGGTCATTCACAGATACAACAACAGAAGTATCCTCTAGTCTTACCCATCGGGCAGCAACAATTTTCCAACGTAGGCAACTTGCAGCTTCCTCATTTATCTTCTATTGATAAAAAGTAGCTGGCAGAGCCAGGTCCTATTCTCTGTCCTTTTGATCTCTGTTTATTTTGAACAACCTGCTTATTCAGAGTAACGTTCCACTCGGTCTAGTAGTGACTAGTGTTCGGAGGTTGTGCTCATCAATGGCGTATTAACAGGTCGAAAAGAGAAGCTGCGAAGCGGAAACTTGATATTAAAACCAATCTTTCCACCATAGCTTATATCAAGCCCTGGAAGCAGGCTCTGCGAAAGCGTGCTCCTAATACAGCTGAGTGGTTCGAACAAGAGTCTGCGTTCAGTAGGTGGAAAGAAGACCCCGACACTGCGATTTTATGGTGCTCGGGCACTATTGGTGTAGGAAAGACAGTACTCTTATCCAACGTGGTTGCCAAGCTATATGTATCTCGCAGAACCGACGAGTCATTTCTTATTACTTTTGCCAAGAGGATAATGAAGCATCACTCGCAGCAAGGAATATTCCGGGAAGTCTGGCTTGTCAATCATTAGATGATCAGATCGAGCGTGCCGAGGACGACGCTCTACGAGATATGCACAACGACAGCCAAAATATTCTAGACGAGAATGATATTGTTGCATTCACGATATCTCGTCTGGAAAATTCTAAGAAGTATTATTTGATCTTGGATGGCTTTGACGAATGTGGTGGTGAAGATATCCGAAAGGTGGCCGAAGCTATTACTCAACTATGCGATCGGCATCCCGGGATTTTGAAATCCCTCTGCATAGGCCGTCCAGAGCTCGAAACGCAATTGCTTAAATCACGAAAACCAAAATACAAACTCTCAACAACCCAAAGGAAAGTTGATTCGGACATGGACCGCTTTATCACAGGGGCTCTAGACCGCTGCCTTCAAGAGGAACAATTAATGATCCAGGATCCAACTCTCATCATTACCATACGTAACACCCTACAAGACAAATCTAATGGAATATAAGTTTCCAAGTTTCAATAAGTTGGTCTTTCACTGCGTTCCCGATATGGTACTTCTTGGGACCCATCGGCAAGCGGCCCAGACATAGGAGGTGATACCTTGGCGTGATTACCGCATTTTTGTGACACTGTTGTTGTCTGAAGTCAAAGAGAATGATTTGTTGACCGTTCTATGCGAACAGGTTTCTGTGGGCGCGTTTTTCCATCGACGAGCTCTGCGTGCAAGGGAGTAACAATGACATACTGGAGGCATTGAATCATCTACCACGTGGACTGAATGGACTATTCAATCAAAAGCTGCATCGAATTCAATCTGGACCCAGGGCAAAAGAAGCAATAAAGATACTACAATTTTGTGACTCACTCAAGCGGCCATTGATAATTCCTGAGTATCTAGAATTATTGAGTATTTCCCCTGAACAAAAAGCTCTAGATCGTAGGAGATTTATCAACGATCTAGACCGGATTACCGTGGAATCTTGTGGGTTGAAAACGATTGATGAAGAGGATACCACTATACACTATGCTCATTATAGTGTGAAGCAATATCTTTTCGGTCCCTATGGTAAGCCTAAAATTGACTTCGACATGAGAGGTATTGATCGGCAAGTCGGCTATCTCTGCATGACCTACCTGAATTTTAGCGATTTTCAACGACAGGTGGCAAGGACTAGAAAGAGTTCAAATACTCCTTTAGAGCCCATCCGAATCGGTAGTCAAGCGTTATCCAATTCAAGAGCTGTCACCGCGAGTCTTGCGAAAAGGCTGCTGTCTTATAGTCCTCAACTACAGCACCTCAGCCGTCGAGAGCTCGAAAATAAGTACGAAGATATACTTGGCTTGGATTCTTCAGATCTGGACCTCAAACGCGAGAGAGATGTCTTCTTTTGGATTACGCCACAAGGTACTGGATAGATCATTTGAGAGATATTGAGCCACACGAGGATATCAGGTTATGGCGGCTATTCTGCCGGTTTGTGGAGGGCAATGATGTTGTGGCAAGCAAGCCCTGGGAGACGAATCAGAAAGGCTCCGAGGGAGATGGCGCTATGCCGTGCATAATATCGTGGTTACTTGCCTGTAAGAATTTCACCTTGCTTCGATACCTGGGAAGCCATAAGCCACACAGCTTGACTGAAGGTGTCAAGCGTGAGATTCTTCGCAATGCAATGATGCATGATACCTATCAATTTACGGAGACGATAATTCAGCAAAGCGAAAAACGGAGCAAAACCTTGACTCTGGGATTGGTATATGCTGCGAAAGAGGGAGCAGTAAGGTCGCTGGATCGCCTGCTACAGGCAGGAGTTGATGTTGATGCTCGAGTTGACAACTAAACAGTACTCCAAGCAGCAGCGGGAGCAGGAAGACTTAAAGTGGTGGAACGACTGCTTGCTGCTAAGGCTGAGGTCAATGCACCTGCTGCTCCTTATAACGGACGAACAGCACTTCAAGCAGCAGCAGAGGCGGGGAGTCTTAAAGTAGTA